ATCAAACTTATACAAAATTATGAAAATTGCATGGTCTGTGGCGACTACTGTACCAGCACTGGAGGCTCGAGCCTAACCCACCCTCACTGCAATCGCACATTCATCTCACGCACTGACATGGTCGGTCACTTGCGACTGCTGTCAACGCACCTTCCGTGCACGCATTGGCTTGATCGGTCACCTTCAGAGGCCGTGCAACCCTCCTCCGACGGCATCCACGTCTACGGCACCAAATACTCCAACAGACCCTTCTCTGCCCTCCACCTCGACGGCAACAACCGACGCCACAGATGCCTAGTTGCCCTCATCCACCGCTCCCACCCCACCCGCAACTTCCTCCACCCCCTCCGACGCATCACCGCCTGCCACAACCCTCATCACCATACCCGAACCCTCTATCAGCTCTGGGGGCCTGATATGCCCTCACTGCAATCGCACATTCACCTCACGCATCGGCCTAGTCGGCCACTTGCGAATCTATCGCACAGAGACTGGTGAACTAGTGTCTGGTGCACCAATACACAGACGAGACCGTCGCCTTTACTGCCCACAGTGCCCTCAGACATTCGCCCATCGCAGTGGCCTACTAGGTCACATGCCCATTCACGACAGAGGCATTGACCGTGATGTCGACACACCCAGCACATCCCACACCCCCACCACTAGCTGCAGAACCACTCATTAATCGCCTCACAACCTGCAAACCAAGATTTTGCCTTCGAGTTCGTCGGGAACCTCAAGGTAAGTGCCCACCAGGTAAAGAGAACTTTCCTCTCATCTCTTGCCTCACTGCCCTTATTTATGCTGTCTTCTGTACTAGTAAGCATGGTTCCTCGTACTAGTTCCGCCATCAAGTTTTACTCTTCCTTACTCGCTGCCTCCTATAGGACTAACGACCTTCCTGCCGGACATCCATTTGCACATTTAGCCCTGCTTCAGAACATTCTTGCTATCAGCAGCAATTTAGGGGGCGATCGTAGCCCACCCAAGTCATGTCACTGTACTTGCATTACGCCTATCACAGTCACCACTGTCGTTCGGTAATGGAATAATTCGCTAGTCGTTATCCTCGTCATAGGCCGCGCTCCTCACGTGAGAACGGCAGAAGTTCGGGACCGGTTGATCGTCGCTGTCTTGTCAATTACGCTTAATCTGTTAGCGGGACGCCGGGGGCGGGGGGCGATCGTCGCCGTACGCCTGGCCATTAGCAGTGCGTTAAGCCGGCTGCCATGACTCAGTGGCGTGGAGATTAATGGAAATCGATATCCATGCTGCCTCTTTGTTTAACGTGAGAAAGACTGTTGTTAAAACGGGGGGAGTAGACCGCGGATAAACGTGGCTTTCACGCTAGTTAACATACATGACGGGCAGAGCTTCGGGCCGCGCCACCCGTAACGGCGTGGTTACAGCAGTCGCTGCTGTCAGAGCTACGGGGAGGGGAAGAAGTATGAGGCGGCCGTGCACGGCCTCAGCGGCACATAGTAATCCAAAGATCGGCAGAGTTTAGCTGGCAGTAACTGGCGAATCAAACGCCAAGGACTCAACTCAACCAACTGGGATTTATCACGCTGTTTCCTGAGCTGCCACTATTAAGTACGGGTTATAGCCCTAACATCAATTGTACTCCCTATCAATACTAACTCGTGCTAATTCTCAGGCACCCTTAGCCTTGTAAATTGTGATCTGTTTTCCTCTGCAGTACTGCCACTATTTCTGTCATTAGCGTCGCGAACACTACTGGCCGAAACCATAGCCGCTGCAGTCGCCTCAAGCACATCATGACTATCTTCCGCTGAAATGTAAGCGGTTTTCTTGTTCCGGTTCTCGTTCTCTTTCGTTCCTTTGCTCTTCTTTTTCGTTCCTTTCGCTCTCCTCTTCTCTTCCTCATTTTCTTTCACTCCTCTCTCTTTCTCTCAATCCCTTCACCACCTGCCCTTCTATCTCATTCTCCTCTATCCTCCTCGGTTCGCTTTCGTTCCTCTGACCCCCTCTCTCACCATCTCTTCCTTCCTTTCCTCTTCTTCTTCTGCGCATCCATAATTACAGGATTCACCGGCTTTTTTCTCTCTTCTATTTTAGCCCTGCCCACGGACGCCAACTGGGAACAAAGTTTTGGGGTAGTGCCTATTAGTCGATGACTGAATGGTTACCCCTGCTCAGAAGGGTGTTGGTCCAGGCTTCGTGCAGGGCTGCTCTCACCCTTTTGAGATATATCTTCTGTATGCATATGCAATGCCAGACTTCGGCAAACCACGGCCGACAACATGGCGTCCAATCGCCGGCTTAGACGCCTCATTATTGTTTCGTTTGTGGTAAGCGTCGCAGTCTTCTCATCCGACTTACGTTTGTGAGCCCTTTGGTGCGTTATTCTGTGTCTTTTTCTTATGCGTTATATCTTAATGCGTTACATCATGCCATTTGTGATTTATTATACGTTTATTAAGGTATAAACAGGTCTATTAGCCAATTATCAATTCTACTGAATAAAATTACATATTACTCGTTCATATATTAGTTTATACTGTCAGTGGGTAGCAATGGTAAAACGTAAGTATTACGGTTTTCACCCGAGCACTATATACAAACGAATTGGACACCAGAGGAAGGCGTTCGATGCTGAGATGCGGGAAGCTTCTGTCCTCCCAACGTCGTCGGTGGTTAACCAACCACCAGAAATGGAAGGGCCTAAGCGAAGCCCGGACATTTCTACGAGTAGGAGTTTTATGATTGCTCTTTACTAGAAGATATAGAACCCCAGCAATCGATCAAACAGTGGAGATGGTGGGAGGTAGGTGCTTCCTAGTTGATTTGCGGGAATTCTGCCTGAAGTGGAAACCGTTACTGTCCTTCATGAAGCGCATGTTCCAACTAATGTACCCCGACCATCCAGAGCTCCCCAAAAGACTCAATGACGTTGTTACATACGCCTAGAGCTTGTGCTAGCAAGGCCCTGGCAAAAGGAGCTTATGTTCATTTGGGCTTTGAACGCGGTCTGCTTGATGACCTGTTAAATCGCTGTGCAACTAGCATTGCCGAAATGGGCATTCAGCTGCACATTGAAGGGATGAAACTTTTTAACGGCTCTACTTAGTGCCTGTGGCCAATGCTTGCGCGGGTTAGGCACCCGTTTTTTGGCAGCCCTTCGTTGTCGGAGTGTTCTGTGGTTCCGGCAAACCAAATCCGTTCAACCTCTTCGTGGAAGATTGTATCTGCGAGTTGAAAGAAGCTCTTGCTCGTGGCCTGCGTGATCCAAATGCAGATAACGTCGTAAAGGTGCATCCAGCCAATATTATCTGTGACACACCTGCCCGTGCTTACGTACGACAAGTTAAAGCTCACAATGGCTTTTGTTAGGACGGCCTAACGAACAACCATAGCCAGCAGTTAGCTATCTTACACGCGTTCGTTGTCCTAAATTTGTTGTACCTTTTACTCTCAAAGACTTCTGCTGTTGCACACTGCTTGTCTCAAGACCCTACAAGATCACAGTCGATATTTCCCCACGCTCCTCCTAGG